CCCCCCCCTCAGCGGGCCGCGGTAACATTATCAAACGTTGACCGGTCCGCGGCGATAGAAAGGTTGGGGAGCACTGATTTAGAGAACTGTTGTTCGACTCGAACATCGAGCCCATCTCTATGTGGGAAGAAGGCAAGCAAGTGGAGACAGTGTGATGCTTTGGGAATTGCTCTGCTGCTGCTTGGCTTGAGTCCTGCCATTCATGTGGCTGTTACTTTGACATGTAACAGGAATTTATTTATTTTTTTCAAATTCCTTACATTTTTTGAAAAAATTTGAACACAAATACAATAACAACAAGAAACAAGCTCAAGTCACAAAGAAGAACATTCCGCCCACACCTTTGGGGAGCCATGTAACTTGTGTAAGGATTCCAATCTAAGGTTATCCTGAAGAAGAGCGGATCGCTGAGCTTTTCTTACCTTTTTCACTCTGGTGCCAATGCTAATGAGTATCCCACGTAGAAAAAAGGTTTGTGCGCTTCTCATAAAAGCATGGGGCTGCAATCAGGAGTAGAGTTGGTCACAAAATAGGTGTTCTTTATTAATTTCCGCTACTATCTGGGGGTCATGAAGTATACCCCCATTGAGGCGCCATTGCCACGGCTTGGTGGTCGGAGAAGAGGAGAGAGTGACTGTAAGTGAGATTGGTGCATGATCCGACCAAGTTATTGAACCAATGTCAGTCAAAAGTAGATCCCTATGTTTAACAAGAAAAAAAATATCCTGGAATAGGTGAGGTGACAAGGGGAATAAAACTTGAAATCTCAGGGTGAGCTAGACGTCAACAAGCTAGTAGTAGTGAAGTGCTCGAGATATGGATTTGAGTTGAAGTCTAGTTAGACATCAGTAGCCTTTAGACGAGTCAGGCTTCTGGCCGGGGAGAAGTTGAAGTCTCCACCCAATATCAGGGTCCCTTCAGCGAAGGAATCTCATTTAGAGAGAGTGGATTGAAGGAAATTGGCCTGATTTGTATTAGGACCGTGCACAAAGGTAAATTTAGAGGTGCCCACCAGTCCCTTAACAAAGAAACAACGTCCCGCCTCATCAGATACTGAGTCCATGAGTGTCCACGGAACTGAACGAGAGATCTGTGGATTTTGCGTCCCAATTGGCGCTATGGTATCCAACAGGAAAGTATCTATGTCGCAGGGAGGGAGTCCTATAGATATATACATTGAGTGGCCAGATTATTATGACCACCCCATCAGTACTTCGTGATGACTCCACGAGATGACTTCGTTGGGCCGCCTTGTGACTCCACGACATGTTGAAAGGTTATGCAAGGAATCTGATACTGCACTGTTGCCCTTCTGTTGTCTTGTACCAGTCTTGCCACTCTCCGTTCTGCCCAACATTGACTGCTCGCTGACGGCCACAATTCGCAGACCCAGATTTTCAGCTGCTCTTGAACATTTAATGAATTCTGCTGTTTTGCTGATACTCGCTCCATGGCTCCGAGCGCCAACAATCATCCCACGTTCAAAGGCTGTTAAATCGCGATGTTTACCCATATCTTCAGAAAAGAATCACTTCTACTGTCGTGGTAAACAACCTGCTTCCCTATTTATAATGGTCTGGCCCTCTAGCAACTTCAGTGCGAAATTATAGCTACTTATAGCTAATTTGCCTACAAACGTCAGGTGGTCATAATAATCTGGCCACTCAGTGTATAAAGATATATATGGATAATCTCATGCTATTATAGAATGATTCATTTATGTTCATCGAGCGGTGAGACTGATGGATAATCTCTATGCATTCCACAGCCAAGCTAAGCGCATTGCTTCCTCAGGAGACAACTAGAGGTACCAACATAGGGGCATACAGAAGGAGTAACCAAACACTGAACTGATCCAACACCCAGGCTGGATCTATATGAAACTGATCAAACAGAGACCCAAGGTAGCAACCACCAAGCCTCTTAGTGGTAATCCTTCTATCAAGCAATATTTTACAGCAAATGTGTAGTCAGATAGCCTCAAACTATGGTTGCCACAAGATGGCAGTCTAGCTACTGATAATGGATTGTTTTGAGTAAAAATCAGACAAAAAGTGATTCAGAGAAACAGCTTTTAATCCAAAATCCTTGAGTGTTAAATGTTCAGACTTATCCACTCCTCCACCTCTGCACCCCCCCCCCCCCCCCCCAAACATAGGGGTGAGCAGAAGGGTAATGGTGAGCAGAAGGGTATTTCTGACTGCAAAATAGTTTGAAGATTGAAGAGGATGGGCTAGAGCAGCCGACGAACAGCCAAGTTCATCTTGCCACAACTAGTGTCTACTAAAAACAGGAAAATTATGCCACAATGAAGAGAGGATCACCGGAAGTCGACATTTTAAAATTGGAAAACAAATTTCGTGATCAACAAATCCTGATAGCACTGACCTATATTACTAAGGGTCTTTCCAAGGCTTTGATGAAGTGGGGGTCTTTCATAGTACTTGATAGGGTTACCCAATGAAATGACCACCAAGTATTATTGTTTACATAGGCTGGAAAGTCAGTGCAAGCTGATTTCTATTATTTTAAAGAGAAATATATCATGCATTAGAGAGGTATATTTCCATAAATCTATTTCATACACATTTTTGCTCTTTGCCTGAGTGAAATGATAAGAACTGTACACAAATATTAACTTAAACATATCTGTTAACAGTCTGACTAAGGTGGAAAAGTACAAGGACTAAAATGCATACTGGAGAAAATTCTGCAACCAATCTGCACACTGATACTTACATTCACCTAAGGTCACAGGGCCGATTGCCTAGCCTTTGGGTCATGTGACCAGTAATGAGAGGAATTTAAAACTGCTACATTTTCTCTAGAAAAGGAGAGTATCTTATCGCTTCTGTTACACTTTTTTTATCCACTCCAGAAAATAACAACTTCTTTCATTACTTACTGTAATCTTCCTTTTTTTGATGCTTATCCATGGACCATACAAATGGTTTGTGCTAGACCCTTTATTAAACCATAGTAATTGTGATATGTAATATAAACCTTTCTATCCTGCACACATTCTTGCAAATAAATTGAACATTCAGGGTTAGGCACCAGGAATCTGCTATGAGAAACAATATTGATAAAGACCAAATCATCCCAGTGTGTCTATGTTCTAAGACTTTTGGTGACAGATGATAGAGCAATCAACAGTCTTCAAGCTCTACGTGCAACATAATATGACTTCTTCATTCGATTTTCCTGTCTAGGGTTACTTTGAATGTTACTGAGTCCTCGGTCACATTTTGTGCCAACTGTATTACTGATCCATCCACCACAGGAGAGGACTCCAGAGAAGAAGCCTGGGAGATAAAAGTTTGTTTGGCGATTTTGTAGAAATTTTTTTTTTTTTTTTTTTTTCCATTTACTTTTTTTTTCCCTCATATTCTGATTTTCTCCCTAAGAGGAAAAGTGGTAGAATGCTTCTTTAGTTGAAGATAACAATTCCAGACCTTTTTAGGAGCCTCAGGTGGGTCTCCCGAATAGATTATGTCTTTAATGGCAAAGATAAAGGTTCCATCCAAAAGTGAAGTTGAACATGGCGAAAATGAGAAGACTGTTCTAAAAAAGTGTTAGCAGTAGTAAACGTATTAATAGTACTCTATTACCTGTCAAGAAAATCTGACTTGTACAATGATGGCAGCTTACCTAACAGACATGTATGGATCTTATGCAGGACAGGCTTAAAAAAAAAGCCATAGGCTAGTGTGGTACTGACTGACAGACAGCTCAAACGGAACAGAAAGAGAATTCAGCCAAAGAGACCAAGGAAAGATGGAAATGATCTTATCTAGAAGGGTCAATGTAAAATGGAGGCCAGGGTGATGACAGAGGTCACAGCTCAATAAATGCTTGAGGTCCAGACAACAAGGTAGCAAGATCACTGGTGTGTCTGAAAGGATGCAACATGGCTCCTGCGACATCCTACAGTACAGTACAGTATGTGTAACAGATTATATGTAGACTCCATTGGGGAGGCTGAATAGGACAATTCCTCCACTCTGCATCAGTACAGAGTAGAAGATTATTATTATTAGATTATTAGTAGAAGTTCTGCTCTAGGTGTGGGGACCCAGATTGGAGAGATTTTAAGCACATAGTGTACTATTCCACCAACAAACCTGCTGTGCCAAGACAATGAGGACCCAGCCAGATGGCACTGGCAGGCAGTGCTGCAGTTTGGAACCTTTTATTACACAGAGAAATGTGTTGGCAATATGAGTGGCAGCGTGCTTTCCCTGGCAGTCCTGCCACCTATGGCTGCGACCCATCCTAGCTGTGCAGAAATCAGGCCTATATGACATACACTGAGTGGCCAGATTATTATGACCACCCCATCAGTACTTCGTTGGGCCACGAGATGACTCCACTAGATGACTTTGTTGGGCCGCCTCGTGACTCCACGAGATGTTGAAACGTTATGCGGGGAATCTGACACTGCACTGTTGCCCTTCTGTTGTCTTGTACAAGTCTTGCCACTCTCCGTTCTGCCCTAACATTGACTAGTCGCTGACGGCCACAATTCGCACGTTCAGACCCAGATTTTCGTCAGTCCAGTCTCTAAACACTTTAACAACAGCTGCTCTTGAACATTTAACAAATTCTGCTGTTTTGCTGATACTCGTTCCATGGCTCCGAGCACCAAGAATCATCCCACGTTCAAAGGCTGTTAAATCGCGTTGTTTACCCATATCTTCAGAAAAAAACACTTCTACTGTCGTGGTAAACAACCTGCTTCCCTATTTATAATGGTCTGGCCCTCTAGCAACTTCAGTGCGAAATTATAGCTAATTTGCCTACAAACGTCAGGTGGTCATAATAATCAGTGTATAGCTATAATTGCCTCACATTAGTTAGGTGCTTTGCTGTATCTTAGAGCCATTGCATAACCTGCAATAGTGAATTCACTCTGTAAAAAAACGTGATCAATTGCAATTAGTATGCATCCCAGGCAGGGGCGTCCCGAGGCTGGGTGACACCCGGAGCGGTAACTGAGTGTCAGCGCAACCCCCTTGTGACGCCACTGATCCCAGGAGTCACGGGCAACATTTAGCAATTTTGGTGGATAGCAAGGTAATCTTTAACAGGAGCAGCGAGACACATTTACTAAAAGATTGCAGCTTGATTCATAGGTCTCTCTCTCTCTGCTGCTCTAAAGTAGCACTGATTCACTCTAAAACTTGTCATTGACCATTTCTTAATCATGAGCTTCTCTTCCCATCAGAGCCCACCCCCATTTCACATCAGGACCCCCCTTCACAGAGTCCTCAGTCCCCCGCTTCACAAAGTCCTACCTTATAATATCCACCACAGTGCGGCAGCATGGCGGAGGGCAGGAGGCGGAGCAGCTTTAGATGGAGGGCGATTTCTGTCTTCTCCTGGATGCTGAGGGAGGTCCTGGTTGTAGCCTCCTGACCTGCATGCCTGCACCATGGAAATGCATGCCACTGTGCAAAAATTTGCAGGCCTACCTGACAAAGCCAGAGGGCACCCCTCTGGTGGAGAAGGGCTTGTCTAATCTGCCACAGACAAAACTGTCTTAATTGGCTACCCAAAATTGCAAGTATTGCAAAAACTGCATAACTGTTGCATTTCATTAGCTAAATGAGCCAGCATGATTTGCAATGGATTTCTGCAAAATCTGTCTTATTGGACTGCATACACACAGCAATGGAGTTCTAAGGTTGTGCAAACTCCAGCTGCTTCACAACTACAGACTATGTGACACAATGTCTGCAAAGAAAATAAACTGGAAACACAGTATTATACCGTCCTGATACTATTATGTGGACCAGGAATCGGAGGACATCACTGAACATCATGGACTTTACATAAATCACTCATATTCTTGTATAAGAGGTGTTTTAGGTACAGGTCATACACAGCTTTAGGCTGCTGCCTTTTGTATCTCAGCGCAGGATAGTGATTACGGTCACAAGCGGGGCATTTTTCTGGCAATGTTTTCTGGCAGTGGTTTAATCAGTAAATGTGACGTGTGAAACTACCAGTTGTTCTCCTTCACTGGGAATATCACCACGAGGCTGAGCAACTTCCTTTTCTTCTTTGCCTAATTGTGCAGCCAGAATGAAGACTCTGCTGCTTGTATGCTGTCTTGTATCTTTACCAACTTTCATTATAGCCGAGGAACAGAAATCAGGAAAGGGGCCAAAAGCAAAGAAGCACAAGGCACCAAAATTCAAGGAGGAGGATAATGTTCTTGTCCTCACAGGCTCGAACTTCTCTAGGGCACTCAAGGAAAACAAATACTTGTTGGTCAAATTCTGTAAGTACATTGGAATTATTTGCGATATTATACAAGTAATCCCTATAGTTTTTACTGACCCCATAATTTGGGTGCTCTTGAGGTCTCATGATTTTGCTTTACAGTTCAGTTCTTCTTTTTCAGAAAAGACAAATAGAGACCTCCCTAAGCTTCTGTATCATCTGCTATAGTCCTGTTTATGTAACATATTGACATTTATTATGGTGTATAAAATACTTTGCATTTGGATGCCAATATTCTATTTGGGGTTCTCAATTTATAAATGCTACAGGTCCATTCGGTTTGGATCATTTGTGATGTAAGTCAGTGATGTATTTAGGTTTTGTGCCTCCCTAGGCAATACTAAACTCAAGCACCCCCCCCAATCTAAATTTGCCTCACCCCTTCCTGTTTAAGAGATTTTGCGTAACCAGTCAATCGCTGTATCCAGTGTGCACGCTGTATCCAGCATTTGACTGGTTGCACTATTAGCAATGCGGAATACCACCAGCTATAGAGCACTACAAATCCCAGCAATACATTATATAGAAATGCAGAATAATATAGAGCTACATACTCTGTGTTGCCTCCAGGGTGGTGGCCTGATGTCTCCAGGGTCTGAGGTGGGCTGTGCATGCTCTCAGGTGGGCTATGGAGGCTCTTAGGTGGGTTGTGCGGGCCCTCATGTGGGCTGTGAAGTGTCTCAGGTAGGCTGTGCGGGATCTCAGAAGGCAGTGCGGGCTCTCAGGTGGTCTGTGGGACTCTCAGGAGGCGCTGCGGGCTCTCAGGAGGTTGTGCAGTGTCTCAGGTGGGCTGTGCGGCATCTCAGGTGTGCTGTTTGGGGTCTCAGAAAGCTGTGCGGGCTCTCATGTGGGCTGTGTGGGGTCTTAGGAGAGCTGTGCAGAGTTTCCCCAGGGGTCCAGATGGTCTTGTGGGTGGGTGCGGGCAGCACGGTTCCACAGGAAGGAGGAGGACATGTGCCGCCAGCGTTGTAAGCAGCGCCACAAGGTCCCCAGAAGGCTGCCGTAGGTCCCCAGCAAACGCAGGACCTTATGGCAGCCCCTTGTGTTTAAAAATGAAAAATGAAGGTGTTGGCGCTCCGTATCAGCACAGATACCGTAATTGGTGGCAATACCGGTAATGGCAGGTAAGGCTCTGCCTCACTGGTTTGGAGGCAGTGTTTTTTGCCGCCCCACCTGGAAAGTGCCGCTCAAGGCTAATGCCTTGTTTGCCTTGCGGCAGATATGCCTCTGTTGTAAATACTGATTATATAGTGATGTAAGCCTGCATACTCTATGTGCCTAGAATGCTTTTAAAGCCAGTGTTATATTAAATACAATATGAACAGTATCTTATTCCTGCTGCTCCTTTTATAACATTTGCAGGCATAAATGCAATAGATACCCTAACTGTAAAAGATTTGTCCACAGAAAATGACCTTTTAGATATATATCAGACATTGTGACCCCCAGGTATTTACCATAAGGCATTCATAGGCCTCTATACAGTACAGCAGGGTAAAAGAGGCAGGATAAAACAGATATAATGATCTAAAAAACGTTAATATACTTGTTATTTGCAGGAGTTCTTTAGATATACCTCCATCCTTTAGCCAATACAGAAACAAAAGAGATCTTGGGGCATTTTGGGAGTATCTATTGTATTCCTTATTAGTAACTGTAGTAACTGCAATGAACAGCATATTACTGCTGCTTATAACGTAGAAAAGATTTGGGCCTGAGAAATGAAAATCCAAAGGGTGCCATATTAATAAACCCAGTGATTGTTAATTTGGCACATTTGGCCATTCATTTTCACTCCTAAATTCTCCTTAGTTACATACCGTATATACTCGAGTATAAGCCGTCCCGAATATAAGCCGAGGTACCTAATTTTACACCTATTTTAATTTACATGTAACATTTTAACCCTTTTCATTTTGCAAATGCAGATTGAGCTTCATTTTACAATATTACATTTGTTTTTTCAACATAAAAATCACAAACGTCTCACAATTTAACCCTTTGATCCAAAACAGTACAGTTTTATATTTTTAAAACTCCCTACTTCTCCTTTCCATACACCAATTTGCATCTGCCATACTTTATAGCAGTTTTGTTAAACTATAGGGATGATGTGCGTGACTTTTGTTAATTTGGCACAAACAATTCAAAACTTTTTGAAATTTGGTGCACGAGTCAGACTTTCCCTCAAATAGGTTTATTGGTTTATTAATTTGGCACAGACATTTCCATCCTCTGTGTTTCTGCACAATAATTCTGCTGCATATATGAATTTTAACTCCCTGAAATACTTTTAATTTGTATAATGTATTTGTATTACATATTTTTGTTTTGGGCTCAGTCATTTCCTCCTTGTCTTTAGCGCATTGGCATTTTGCTGTTGAGATGGCAGAAGTTTTCTTCTTCAGCCTCCTTGACTTTTAATGTCTGAATGCAACTGCATCATTTAGGGCTGGGTCGGTGATGTGGTGATGTTGGACAAGTACGCTATAAAACATGGGATAGACAAACTCCGACCTTTCAGCTGTGGTGCAACTGCAAATCACATGAGGCATTGCAAGACCCTGACAGCCACAGGCACGACTCCCAGAAGCAGATGCCACTGGCAGAACTACCAACTACTGAAGGGGCACCGGGCGGGATTTTTTCTCTACATTTAGCCCTGCTTCGTGCAAGCAGGGCTAAATGTAAAGCAGAGGAGGTGTTTTGTACGAGTGATTTTAGCAGCTGTACAGGCGCTGAAATCACTCGTATGCAGTCTGCTTGTGCTTGTCTTCCCCCCCCCCCTGACTGCCTTCTTCTGTGCCATGATTTTTGGGGTCCCCTGCTCTTCAGGGGGACCCCTGCCCACGACAAGGCAGTTCAGGATGGAGAGCAGGGAGCAGAGCGGAAAACCTCCGTTCTCTGCTCTGCTCCTTGATCATTTGATCTATTTGATCGGACTACATGGGCCAGCCCTCGCTCCCCCCATGCATCTTGGCCAGCCATGACCTTGTCTGGTTTCCCTTCTTTGGACCACTTTTGGTGAGTTCTGACAACTGCAGATCTGGAGCATTTCATAAGAGCTGCTGTTTTAGAGTTGCTCTGACCTAAGCATCTAGCCATCACAATTTGGACCTTGTCAAAGTCGCTCAAATACTTATGCTTGCTCATTTTTTCTGCTTCCAACACATCAGTTTCAGGAACAAAATGTTTACTTGCTGCCTATTATATCCTACCCACTTCCAGGCATCATTGTAATGTTATGGCTGATTGGCGTATATGTAATGTAGATTGCCATGTCCTTCCTATTCAAACCACATTTATGAAATGATTAACAAAATGTGACATTTTAATTTTAAACTATGATTATAGCTGATTCGCAAGGCACATTTTTTTAAATTTACAATGTGTTGGACCAATCATATTGTAACAGGTATAGTTTACATAGCCTTCCATACAAATATTTGCTAAGTTCTATTATTTTTTTTAATAGGTGATAAGAAGTTTTTAGGCAATAATCCAGGTAGTCCTTTGAAGAATTCCCCTTGTTTCACCTTGTGTAGCCTGCTATTTTAGACAACAGTGCCATATTGTTTCTTAGCTGTTTTTAAGCCATGTGTAAGATTATTTAAAACCCAGATCTGTCCAAAACATATATTTCTGTATTACTGGGTATCTTAGAATATGGGATTAGTTTACTAGAGGCAAAAAGGCTGTTCAATTTGAAAGGAAATTTCCCCCTAGCTTAGTGAATGACTTAAAAAGAAAAACCTGCTTCATGGACTCTACAAATTCCCATTCAAAACATAAAAATATATCAAAAGGCTACCACACGTGTGACAAAATACAACATTTATTGACCCAAATAACTTTAAAAGAACGTCGTACATTCTAAAAATCACCCCTGTACCCCAAATATCGTGCCAGCAAGGTTCACACTAGATACTAATATATGGAATATCAAAATGACATACTGTATATTACATTCATGTTGCACAAAACCATAGGTATCATATTCTGCTCCCCTGATAAATTTGTCATTATTCAATTCCCTTGCATGTGATTGGGTATTCTTTGTAAAGTTAATTTTTGCTACTTTCATTAAGCTTAAGTGAAAGTTTCCATGGAAAGTGAAAATTCCCGTGCAAATTGAACAGCCTTTTTGCCTTTATTATCTCTTGAATACTCCAGTTATGAGTTTGTGTGTCCATCCACATTCCTAGGAGATAATGAAAGTATCCACTAACTGGACTTCCCCAGTTTTTTGTATATTCATAATAAATACAAATGTATCATTGGAGCCTGGCACCTCCATCTGGCCTTGCAGTGAAAGGGGTGGTTGGGGGGAACTTGGAATTTTGGCTTGGATAGCTTTCCCTTGAAGCTTCCTGACATAAATTGTAAATTGTTGTTTGTTACTAACAACCATTCAAACCAGATAACAATTGTACATCCATTTTAGGTGGAGTTAGCTTTTAAACACAGTTTGAAAGAAGAATTGCATGTAGTTTGCAAACCAGCCAACCTCAACAGAGTGAGAAGTCAGCATTTAACAGTATGACTTTGGCTGCAGAGATAATACAGCCACAATCTGACTGCACTCGGTGCCGCAGATCCTCCAAATGCTGTAGAACACTCCATAAACATATCATATGTACCAAACATACACACTTTCCTCCATAAAGGGTTGGCTATGTCGGCACAGGAAATTCATGTCAACCCAGTGGTCAGGGGAAATGAAGGCAGCACTGCAGGTAGATGCTGCCTGTGTTGCTTATCTCAAGGGAGAATCAGTCCAATCAAGATCCCCCAAATGCTATTTGATCAGCATTATAATCATAAGCTCATATGAATAAAGCTGCTTTAATAATTAAAGACTTCAGAGTGATTGTCTGATGTGGTGGAGGAGGGGGGTGTCTGTGGGTGTTTTACTTTTAATGGAAAAAAATTGGCACAATCACACATTGATATTTTATAACATTCAGGAGCTCTTTCCATAAATTCTCACCACTCGGAAATGTTCTCTCCTTTCCTCATCGTGGGCTTTCTCAGTTTCATGCAGCTAATGTGGTGTTGTGTATATACACCGATCAGCCATGACATTATGACCACCCTCCTAATATTGAGTAGGTCCCAATAATGCCAGAAGATATCAAATGGGGTGCAGGCCTGTCAGGAGGACTCCCCACCTCCTTAAAGGTACAGAAACACACAAGGGATCCCGCACATCCCATTGGCAGCTGAGAAACCCCATGCGTCGCTGCACCAAATCGGTAAAGCAAAACAAACGACAAACGCACTCAACAATTTGTCACCAGTTATACAGTAAGGTGCACACGAAATGGGCTTTGAACAGTAGAACAGTAGAAAGGCAGCATGGCACACTCACAAACCAGCATGTAAAACAACTTGTCTCACCACTAAGGACAATGACAGAGGTTTGGATACACGTCTTCTGCAAAGGATGTGTAAGCCGCACTGCCGCGCCAAGGCACCTCTTATAGTGCGGTCCTAACTCTAAACTATGAAGGGATCCCTTGTGTGTTTCTGTACCTTTAAGGAGGTGGGGCGTCCTCCTGACAGGCCTGCACCCAATTTGATATCTTCTGCCCCCATGTGCTCCAAGATGGAGACTCTCATAGTTTAGAGTTAGGACCGCACTATAAGAGGTGCCTTGGCGCGGCAGTGCGGCTTACACATCCTTTGCAGAAGACGTGTATCCAAACCTCTGTCATTGTCCTTAGTGGTGAGACAAGTTGTTTTACATGCTGGTTTGTGAGTGTGCCATGATGCCTTTCTACTGTTCTATTGTTAGTATGTGTGACTGCCATTTGTATTTCATCAGTGCTCTTATCCCAGCAGCTCTTGCAGGTGCTCCATACATTCAAAATTGTTTGACCAGATTTGAAAGAATTATACATATGGCTCAGGACTTCTGTATAGAACAGATTGTAAAAAGGAAATTCAAAGTCAATGTTGAAATATTTATTCTAGTAATTTTTTGTTCTAGACATCGCCTTGTCAGCACCATCACAGACAGTGAAAGAAGAGTTTTCAATAGCTGCTGGGCAGCTCATTAATGAAAAATCAGAAGTTAAATTTGGCCAAGCAGATATCACACAGGAAAAGGAACTTGGAAAAGAATTTAAAATCCAAGACTTCCCGACATTTAAACTATTCATTAATGGTGACAGGAAACAACCCATAGACTGCAAAGGTAAGTGACCAGGACTGTAGATTATATATGAGTAACTGTCAAGGTTGCCAGTTTAAAACTAACTCCAGACATTTTTTAATATAAATTTAGACCGGTGGTTCTCAACCTGTGTAACCTCAGGACCAACATTTGTCCTTTGTCATTAAATCACGACCCAAGTCGCACTGCGATGGAATGCGCAGCATTGCAGTACCGGACATTTGGGTGCAGGTGATCGGTGGGAGGTTCATTTGGGGTGTCATTCAAATTAATGGCAACGCAACGCACCTTCCACATCAGAACACGCAGTAGGTGCGATTGCATAGTACAGTGCATTAATCGCATGGGACTGTGCGATTAACGCACTGCACCAGTGTGAACGGACCCTCAAAAACACTGACAGAACCACACAACCACAGACACAATCTCACACATAACCACAGACACACTCACAGACATTCTCACACACGCATACTCCAAAAAAAATTATATATTTTTTCTTTTTTTTAAGATCCACCCAATCTCCCTACCATATGAGAACTGGGATGGAGCCTCAGCCTGGTGACCAGTGTGGGCTGCTGTGTTGTGACGGAGCTCCATCCATATGTGCATTGTTTGTACAGCTCCCTTGCACACCCTGTAGAGGTGCCAGGAGCCAGAATGTGCTGTCAGTCCAGTCCAGGCACCTCTACAGTCTCTCAATTAGAAGGAAGGCATGTCGCGACCCACTGAACATGGGGTCGCGACCCACTTTTGGGTCATGACCCACCAGTTGAGAACCAAGGATTTAGACAGAGCGGAAACAGTTACAATTTCATTCAGGTTTTTTATTCCTGTCTCTTACCCCATTGGAATATTTGCCATCACTTCCTGTCCTAGAGTGACCAGGACAAGAAATGAAGGGGGCAGTTTTGATGGGAAAGGAAAGCACAGACAGGAATAAAGCATTTTAAACACAATATTACTCTTCCTCACTCTACTAAAAATGTGTTTTTTTATGTGTCCCCATTAGAGATTTCCCTTCACTTTCTGTCTTAATAGGCACACAGCAGCAACAGATGCCCCATCCCACCCATCCCAACAATATCCAAAGGCCCAGTTCACACCATATGCAGTTGTGATGCAGTCCGTTTATTTCATCTGCGCAGTTAAAATACATCCCAATGCTTTCCTATGGGCTTTCTTGTGCCAGGCACAAAAAAGTTTAAAAAAAAGTTTTCATGCTAAAACTAAAAAGTTTTAGCATGTTTTAGGCTTTGGAGTATATTCCACTTTTGCAGCCAAATTGGGATAACGCCTACTTTATATCTCTTACATGTTCCCATTCACATATCAGAATTTTAAAAATAAAAAATTGTGTTTTGTTTTTACTTGCTTAAAAATCCTACCTAGCCTCCCCATGTAATGTTAAAGAGGGGGGTGAGGAGTTAATTTTACCATAATTAATAAGGATGCACCGATACCGAGAGTAGTATCAGTGGCAATATCGAGTATTTGGGGCAAGTACTTGTACTCGCCCCAAATACTCCAAAACATATCCCGATACTGGAACTTCCGGTCAGAGGGAGATTTCCTCTGACTGGCAGTGCCGCAAGGGAACATGGAGCCGGTATGATTGGCCAGGAAGCCGGCTCCATGCTATTTGCCCATTAAGAAAGCACAGCAATGCAGGCGGAGTTGCAGAGTGGTGCCCCCCTATAGCAGGGCGCAGTACTTACCAGCTGCGCACCGACAGCATCTCCAGATACTGCTCGATTGTGATGTCGCAGGGCCAGCAGACTGCCGGGCGTCTAGAGCTCTCTGCCCCAGAAGTGTCAAACAGCTGGGTCGATGCTGATTGCTGGGAAGCCGGATTTCCAGCCAATCAGCATCGAGCCAGCCAAACAGCATGGAGCCGGCTTACCGACCAATCAGGAAGCCGGGCAGTGGGTAATGACCCACCTCCCGGCTTCCTGATTGGTCAGGTAGCCAACTCCATGCTGATTGGCTGGTATGCCAGCTTCCCGGCCAATCAGCATTGAGCAGGCCAAACAGCATAGAGCCGGCTTCCTGGGCAATCAAGAAGCCAGGCAGCGGGTAATGACTCGCTGCCTTCTTCTTGATTGCCCGGGAAGCCGGCTCCATGCTACCGGATGTACCAGCATCGGTACTTGGTATCGGCAAGTACCAAAATATAAATTTTGGTACTCGTACTCAATTCTGAAAAACTGGTATCGGTGCATCCATAAAAATTAACCCTGTCTGTATGGTTCTGGCAGATGTCATAATCAGTTATAAAATAGATGTGTACACTGCCTGGTCTAACAAAGGGTAAAAGAGCTCAAATCTTGGGCGGTACATTGTATGTGTTACAACAACATCCCTTGGTGGTAATATGAGCTCACTCAAGGTGTGGAGTCTAAGCACCAGATGTTTTTTTCAGAGTTCCTAATGGTGGGCTTGGGTTTTGCTGCATGCTGGTACCGGGTTGCAGCCCTTAAAAGCCTTACCAGTGAATAAGCTGGGGACTTAGAGGCTATGAGGGGAAAATGGTACACCAGAGAGAGACTAGAAAATGGTGGGGTCCAGGCAAAGGTCAGTAACAGGCAAGGAAGCACAATGGTCAGGGTGAAGCGGAGGTGTTGCAGGCGGCAGGCAAGAGAGTAGTCAGGTTGATCTGGGTCAGCCACGAAACAGGCAGTTAGTAATGTAGTATGGCTCCTTTTGCACAAAACAGGGCAGCTGGCAAGAAGACCCAGCACCTGCCACTTCTAGGGCTTATACTTAAATACACCTTGCATCACTTGCTGACTGCAAATAAGAAATGTACCAATATGCATATAGAATATTTCTAGGGCGGCAACCAACTAATCGATTAATTGCTACTAATCCATTATGAGAATAGTTGTCAACTATTCTCATTATCGATTAGTTGGTTGGATCCTCTAGCTCTCTCCTCCATGCTGGGAGGAGGGCACAGCAAGCAGTGGGCGGGTGCAATAGCCAGCCTGCTATTGGCTATTGCAATTAGAAATGGGCACTAACAGACTGGCTATTGCAACAGCCCACTATCTGCTGTATTTACATTCAGCTGCCGTCTGCCGAATCTTGCCACTGGCAGCTGTCATTCCCTGGCTGAAGCTATTCAAGCGCCATGTGATTACAAAACAATTAGAAAATAAATAATTATAAACGGTAGGAAAAAAGTAATTTTCCATTTCGGCCTGACAAATTCTGCTGCGGGAGGTGCGTTGCAGTGCCATTAATTTCCGTGCATTCCAGTGCAGTGCGATTGCAAAAAATTGTGCATGCAGTTTTATTCTGAAGTAAACTTTATTTTTGTAACACTGCATTTGTGTATTTTATTTAAATTAAAGACGGTATTTAATTTTGTTTTAAATAATCGGACAACTAATTGATTATGTGAAAAAAATCATTAGTTGCAGCACTAAATATTAAAAAATAAATAAAAAAGCAAATAAGCAAAGTTAAAAATCCCTGTCAAGACGAGGGGGTTTATTTATATAAGTTATACGCTGGGAGGATTTTTTATAAATAAATAAACCCCTTTTTTTTTTTATAAATAAACCCCTCTATATCAACAACTTTTATTTTTTTTATATATTGAGGGGAATTTATCAAAACTGAACAGAATCTGGAGCAGTTGCCCATGGCAACCAATCAGCATCTCTGTTCAGTTTGCTCAGGTAAGATTTGAAAATGAGACAGAGAAGCTGATTGGTTGCAGTGGAAATCTGCTCTAGATTTTGTCTGCTCCAGACAAAATTCCCCCCACTATGTTTAAAAGGAAACCTGTGCTGCAAAAGTGTAAAGGCTGTCATTGATGACTTCCCTTTGTGAAAATACCATTGCCCCCTGGATCCGCCACTGCCCCCTGGATCCACCACTGCCTCCTGGATCCACCACTGGCTCCAGGTCAGTTTTTCAGAAAGTCAGAGACAGCCAGGCAACACATATTTTCAGATGGACATCAGCAATGACATCCTCTGTATTTCCTTTACAACATATGGTGATAAAAAAGTCACATATCTTGACAAAAACATGGAGACTGACATTGCTGTACTTAGATAGTAAATGTAAATAGGACTAAGTAAATGGGACAGGCTTTTTTTGGACCTATGTCGACGGGCCTCGTGTTGATAGCATTAGTTTGAGACACTTCTGAGATCATTCAGACATCATTGATCGATGTATTTGACCTACAGTTGACCTCGTACTCGCCTGCATTAGACCTGTTTCAAGTGGGTTTTGCATCCACGTAATTCGTATGGGAAACATGAAATCCATTTGACTCAAACAATAGTCACAACACTTTTTTTTCTTCTTAATTTAGGAGGCCACAAAGCAAAAATAGGCATGTGGACTTGTAGAACATTTATTTATTTATTTATTTATTACAGGTATTTATATAGCGCCAACAATTCACACATACATATACAGATGTAATAAATTAACATTGCATTTAAATAATTTTTAGATAATTTGATATGGAAAGAGTAACCATGGCTCTGCGGGTCCTTTCTTTCATCATCCTTAGTAAACAGGGTCAACCGAGTCGAAGAATTGTTCGCAGATGTCAGTGGTATCAAAGACAGTTTTGTTTTTTTTTGTTTCAATAAATTTGTATTAAAAAAAGAGGTTCATTGAACAATGACATATATCAGAATATAACACAAAAGATTTAGGGCAGCTTAATGGCATCTGTCTAACAGTATAGTAACTCAAAAACATCTTCAATTAACTACAGTGGTCATACATGGACGTCAAGCACTATAAGTTGGCCTAAAGCCATCAGGAGCATAATGTACCATAAATCTTTAATAGGACAGAGTAACAGAAAAAAAAGAGGTAAGATAGAGAAGGGAAGGAAACAAGAGTAAGCTACAAGAGTTTGGGGGTATCTCTGGGGATCCCACAAGCCTTCAACAAAACTGTCATGAGACATTACAATTCAATAAGACGTTGACGATGGTGAATAATGAGTAACCCGAAGGTTCGTCACTTTCATAAATTTAGGCATGGTTTCTAGAAGTCTCACAGTTAGCTTTTCATTGTTAAATGCCCGCTGTATTCTGTGTTTTACTTCTGCTTCACCATTTAGACAGTCCCTGATCCAGAAAGCAGTCAAAAAGACAACCTGCAATGTCCACATTCAAAAACAAGTCAGCCCTGGCAATTTCCATATTTTTATCCTGTTAAGTTCCTTTTAAAAATCTATTGGGTGAGCCATTTGTATAGTGGCCTACAGTGTAAAATGACATTAACATTTTTAAGTGGCTTATTTGTATATATTAATTGCAATACATATTTAATAATATGACTTATCTTTTCTCCATAAGGTGTCAGAACAGCCGCTGCCTTTGTAACTTGGATAAACAGAAGGATTGGACCTAGTTTTGTGTTACTTAATACAACAGAGGAGTATGAATCTTTTATTCATACAGATAAAGTTAATGTGGTTGGATTTTTTAAGGTATGAGCATTTTTTTTTATATGTAATATAGATAGAAAGTAATGATGAGGTTAAATAATGTTTGCATGTGATCATCACTATTTGTACGACTTTATTGTATCAGCTTAAAAATATAATATATAAGATAAGAAGATGAATAGATCTCCTTACATAACTCCCTTGTATATACAGGATCTGGGGAGTAATTTGACAAAGCATTTCTCAGAAGCAGCCAAAGATGTCTCCGAGTTTCCTTTTGGATTTGTCAGTAGTGAAGACATTTTGTCACATGTTGGCATCACTGGGAATATGGTTGCAGTATATAAAAAGGTAAGTTTTCTATCGTTTATATTTTTATATACTTCTACTCTACTGCTGTCAAAAGATGATTTGTAACTCATTTAGATCAAAATAAAGGCTTGCTCTTGGAGAGGACAACAATACCTCCAAAAACACATATACAGTAGGTAATTGGCATAGCCCAGGGATAGCCAAACGCTGGCCCTCCAACTGTGGTGAAACTTGTATAGCCACCCTGCCTTAAAGGAGAACTATGAGGTGAGTGCTTTTCACTCACCTCATAGTTCTAGCCGTCCTGTGACAATGAGACTGTCACAAGTCGGCTCAGTAGATCGGGAGGTGAGCGAACACATACCGGCGTTCACTCACCTCTCGATCCTGTCACGGGATGACATGGAGTAAATTCAACAGGTACGGGGAGTTTGAGAAGTTTATTCTTTACTGAAGTATGACGATCTATTCTAAAATGGAATAGTAGCTATTACAGCAAGTACTACACAGCCAGGAGCACAAGACACAGATTGCTGCAAGTTCTTTAAGAAAAATTAATCAAGCGTCTTATCATTTGTGTGGAAATCAGTTTTATCGGTCGCCAATGGAGGGTTGGTAAGCACTTTTGGGGCAAAAATTGAACTATGAACCCTAGACAGGCTAGGAGGGACCAATCTATTTAGTGGTTTATTCGGGGGTTAGTGCTGAACTTGAAATCTCATTAGGCATTGCAAGAACCTGACAGCCACAGGTATGACTTCCAGAGGCAGAAGCATGTTGGGATTTGTTGTTTCATCACAGCTGGAGGGCCGAAGTTTGGCTACCCCTGGCATAGTCCAACTGTACATGATTGGCTGGCTCTGCCTGAATATCGGCCTCCCTCAACCTCTTTTGGTGAAAGCCTCAGTTCTGGTCACATGACCAGCACCAAATCCAATTACAACATTTGCAGGTTAAAGATTTGCATTGTGGCATTACCGACTGCAGATGATCGGTAATATGAAATAGACAGTGGAAACACTATGAAATTTGTGTAAACTCTGTTAGATTTATAACTCATGATCAGAATGACAATTTCCAGAAAAACTCTTACCTAGTTAAACAATATTCATTTGCATTTTTAGCATAATTAAGGGTCTAATAAGACTGTTGCTTTGCAATAACAAATTGTACAATACGCATTACTGCAAGGCACAGTAACATGAAACTAAGCGCAGTGCATTGCAGTGCCATTTATTTTGAACAGCTTTTAGATTGTAAGCTCTCACGGGCAGGGCCCTCCTTACCATCTTGTCTTGAATTGTATTGTAATTGTAATGTCTTCCTTATATTGTAAACCACTGCGCAAACTGTTGGCGCTATATAAATATTGTACAATAATAATAACAACGGCACCACAATCTACCCAGCCAGTGTACACATGAGGTGTGCTGCATGGAAAAAATACTGCAGGTCCATTAAAATCTGCATAGTGGTGCTTGCCTTGCAGCAACACACATTAACGTGTAAGATATTGCCTGGTAAGGGTGGTAGCCACAATATTCTGAATGTTGCCTAGTACTATGATTGTCCATATTTTGCCTATTTTGTTTAATCTCCCGTAAAGTCAAACCTTTTTACAAGCTTCTTCAAATGCTAATGAAATCGCTTACAATGGATGCTTTCCCTTGATGCTTAAAAGTGTTAGTTTCCTGCAGAATCAGCTGGTCCCCTAAACACTGGACCTGATATCCTGTTTTAGGGTAGCTTCTTTCCCCTGCATGGTCCTATGGAGCCACCCTTGTTTGTGTTAGTAAGCTTTGTGTGTCTCCACAAACACACAGGTACAGCAGGACAAGACAATCCCTTCTTCTTCTCTCATCTCCTCCTCCCTTCTCCCAGCTAGTAGATGGACAGCTGCTGCAGACTGCTCTCTCCCTTGTGATCTTGTACTGGACAGGAAGTTCAGGAAAGCTGAGCTAAGAGAATTGAAGCCAGCTGTTTAGAAACATGTATAGAAAATGTGAAGAAATAATTTGCTGAGCAATGTATATTTGTTTGATCTGGATTTATTATTGACAAAAAGGTTTGAACAATGAATACAACTTTAAATTGGGCACAAAATCTAACCAGCCTTAGAGTTGCCTGATTCCTAAAGTGGCAACTCTTTATAACAGTGTTACCTTGGATCTCACTTCAGCTGAGAAAAGTTTGTCTTGCAGTAGATAGAAATGTTATTTGCATTATGTCTGTTTAAACATTCGTATATACTTGTTATCTTATTTTCTGTGTCTAAAGGAGAAATCTGTCCACTATTTAATAACAGAAGAGGAAATTAAAAGCAAACTGGACCTAATTCGATCAATTCGGATCCATATTATGGATGTAGTAACGGAGTATAACTTGGAGGTAAATGACCTATTACAATCTGCAGCATAGATTGAATTACATTGCATTAGTTAAAGTATGATGTATAATAAACTTTGTAAGTAGCATTGTCACTAAATAGATTACTTGTTTTATTTTCCAGACATCTGGGACTATATTTGATGTTCCTGTTGATAATCACATTCTGCTCTTCACATCAAAAACATCAGAAAACTTTAATACAATCTATGAAAGTTATGAATCTGTTGCACTGGAATTTAGGGGTCGGGTATGTATTATAATACAACATGCAGTGACTATTAAAAAGATGAACCACTGTATAGTGTCTAACTGTCACTGACTGTGATCAGGACAATAATGTATAGAACCAGAGGACAGGATGGTAATATGTATCTTGGTTTCACAAAACAGTAGTAGATGTTCCATATAGTGGGTTTCAATTATGATAAAAGTTCACTCTTCTTTGACCCCTTGCATAGAATGACAGAGATGTCTCCACCTCTTGCAGCTCTTTTTTTAAATGGTCCTTGTTCTGTGGTTTACTGTTCACAGCAGACTAAAGTGTATCTGTTTAGATACAGATATTGCTGTTTTAGACGGGGGTACCTGAGACCCACCAGAGGAAAGGAGTGTGAAAGCCCATTTCTTCCCCTCATCGTCTACAGTAGCTCGTCTACCTCCACTGTACACACTACACCAAGATCATGTCTGTGCCTGTTAAAACTGTACTTCACCCCAGTCTCTCTCCCACAATATCTAATGCATTCAGCACTGCTCATTCTCTTGTACCCTGGGTTTTGGACTTTGTATGGTATGTCAGATCTAAGCACCTTGGTTGCTCCCTTGTAATGATATGCTCCACCATTTCCACAATGCTCTTCTGTCCCCATCCCCCTGTGGCTGCTCTAATGGAGATAAACTCCCAAGCAGATACCAAGCCCTGTCCCTTCCTATTAAGAACCACACCATTGGCTAAGTCCCACCCCTTGTCTGAAGTGTGCCATGTGTGGTGCAGCTGCTGTTACGTACCTGATTGAAGACCAAGCTGAACGGGGGGCTACTCTAATACCACCAGTCCATCTCCCCTGGAGATAGTAACGGGTAAGAGGAGGACTCAGGGAGGCATAAGTGCTGAAGAGGTGGTCTGGCAGGACCCTGTACTGCGCTTTGAGTGTGTTGACCAGGGAAATTCGTCCACAGGAACTGATGATGCAGGAACTTGAGGTACCACACTTTGCAAGGTCAGAGTGGAGTTACAGTAAGCTGTTAATCAGGGTTGAGGTCACAAGCTGGGATCATGCACAGAAGGATCAGATACACAGGTGAGGTGCTGATGTATGCTTGTGCGCGCAACATTTCCTTTATGCTTGCACATAATTACGCTGACACTTTCATGCACATTTTTGCGCACATTTCCATGCACATGGGCACGTGCCCAGATACCACCATGTTCACGACCCCTGGCTACAGCATGTTTGCGTATAACCTGGAGGACAGGGCCTCGTGTGTCTACCTATACTGGCCTCTTTGTAAGTACCTTACAGCTGCACTATGAATTCACACATCAAAAGCAAGGGTATAAATGGCTCTTTCTTTCTTAAGACAGAGGACAACAGTTTATACAAACCTTTCCCATGCTCCCTCTCTACCTCCTCTCTCTTTACTCTGCAGTCCATAACCAGTTCTTCCTGTACATGAACAGCTGTGGACCCTTCTCTGCCCTCCACCCATTAACAATAATCAGTTTTTGTCCGGCCATGGCCAGCTCCTTACCTGCCAGCGACAAGCCCTTTCCTCTTTGTACCCAGCTGTTATCTCAATAATCCCTAATCAGATCATGCTCAGCACCCGCTATCCTTAACCACTATTAAAATCCACTGCCTTCTCTATGCTTAATCCTCTATTTTCTGCCTTTCCTCTTAATCTCACTTTTTTTTACCCAATGTTTCTGGTTAGCTGCAATAAGGAGCTTCTGTCTTGTCTCTTACATGCCTTACTGGTCCAGAACTCATTGTCATTGCCTCCTTTATCTCTCTCTCTCTCCATCCATTTTCAACCGCAATTCTGCTTTTTTTTATCATTATGATCTATGATTGCCACAAAAACACAACGGAATGAATGCAAGTCAACGGAGGTTGAATTTGCATGTAAACGGACCAAAGCTTACTTATGTTTTAGGTGAGATTTTGATGTGAACGGTCCCTAAGTGAAATCCTTTATTGGCTAACATGGCTACCTCTTATAGACCAGAGCAATTTTTACATTTGACATACTACACAGGCCAAAAGTATTCAGATGAAACTTTTTTAGGAAATGTGTGTGGTATGTGTAAAACTGGTTAAAGATGCAGTCTTTCAGAGCAATACAAAATATTACAAAAATTACTTAAGCCAGCCAATATAGGGTATTACTTAAACTCTAAAAGTTCTGCATTTGATGACTAACAGTACAACTACTTTTACTACAGTATTTTAATACACAATAGTAATAAAAGCATTTCATATCATTAGTGTGGGGCAAAGCCAGTGCACCCATTAGCTTTGCTGTCTGCATCCACGTTGGAGATTAGAGATCCGCATAATGTACAGTATATTTTATTGCAATAACTGCAAAAATATATATTTTTTTATCTAAAAAAGGACCTAACATTTAGGGAACATTGAGCATTTAAGAGATCATGGTAGACAATGACATTCAGGGCCGGCCTTAGGGGTGTGCGAGCAGTGCGGCCGCACAGGGCGCCATGGCAACAAGGGCGCCGTGCGGCCGACACAGCTCGTCCTGGGGGCGGCTTCTCTCCCCCTCACCGCTGGGCGCTGGCCATCCGATATGACAGCGCTCCCTCGTCCGCCCCCCCCCTTCAGGGGGGGCGCAGGAGGGAGCGCTGCCTGCTGTCAGGATGGCGGAGCGGTGAGGGGGAGAGAGCACAGGGCGCCTAAAGGCCTAAGGCCGGCCCTGATGACATATAGGCTTATTTATTATTGTAATTCAAATATCAATGGTGTGAAAACTCATGGCCACACAAATTCAACATTCAACAACTTAGAGTGGGCAGACCAATAAAAGGTAATTTATGATTGATTTCTATAGGCTACAACCACCACTTCACTGTGGTAAAAGACGATTCTATGGATATAAATAGTACAGGTTTATTATTATTTATATATTTTTATACTATTTACAGAAGTTCGCCTGTTTTTGATCTCCTAGATCGTCTTTGTTTTGGCTGATACGGATGAAACTCGTAATGGTCGACTCTTTGAATATTTTCGTGTCACAGAAGTTGATACCCCGGCAGTCCGTATTCTGAATTTAACAAGTGATATAAAATACAGAATGCCCGCTGATGATGTCACTTTTGAAAATGTCAGAAAATTCTGCCAAAGGTATTTGGATGGAAAAGCCAAGGTAATATACAGATTTCAGATTCTTTGCTGACTGAATCTCAGAGATGAATATATAGAGAGTTTGTTTGTCAGTTCAGGAGCAACAAGGAGAAAATAAAATAATTTAATGATTCTATAATGCTTTTCAGGAAACACTGCAGCTCTAATAAAATAAATATCTTACTCAATTAAACTTAAATTTTATAGAACCTTCCCATATATTCCTCTCCACAATTCTCACGTGTTGCTGTGCAGATTTTTGTCACTCTGAATTCTGTGGTTTGTAGATCCTCTGCCTCTGTGTGTGATGAACAGTCAGGAGTATAGGGTGGGTGGGAGTAAAAATACTTGGCTAGTACATTCTTTTAATTCAGAAACTGGTGTTCCACTACCAAATTACTAGCAACAATGAACTTATACTATGGCGAGGTCTAGTATCCCAAAAATTAGCCCAGGCAAGTAAGTGTTGTCTCATGCATATGTTTCAAGCTACAATGCTGGCCATACACCAGTAGAATTTTGTTAAAAATTCCAACAAACGTTCTGAAAACAATTTTTTTCTAATAGTTAATGGGTTCAAATCGAAGATTGTTTTTGACCATAGCGAGGAAAAAAATTGAAGGCGCAGAATGGAATTTTTTTCTAGAGGGAATAAAATGTAAACAGTGAATGTGGTTTTTATTGGGAAACTCCATTCCTTTCCAAAACCATATGTTACAACCAAAGGAAATTTCAAACCACACTCACCAAGCCTCTGATGGCATTATCAAATGTTCTGACAATATTTTATGTATGAACATTCACACAAAAATCTACCAGTGTATGACCAGCTTAATTTTCCACTTTGCCTGGAACGTACCTTTAAGGATTTTCACAATCTTTTTAACTGAATGTAATGCTTTGACTTTTCTACTTAAAAATGTAACAGTATAGGAAATTCATACTTGTCAACATTACCATCTAAAGTTCAGGTCATATTAGCCCCTATCCCAGATTTTGGTCTTTGATGAAAGTGATGTAAAAACAGTGGCTCTGCCTGAGTCATTTTTAGCTCCATTAGCGATTTCCCGTCATTCCCTGCTACAGTAACATCATTGTAAACGAGACAGTATATAAAAGGATATCTCCCCAAAATACAACAAACTTGCAGAAGTTCTAACCTGACAAGGGCTCTGCCTAAACTCTATTTGTCTCCATGAGCAGAAAACACATAACCAACACCTGGGATAAAAGGAGACCAGAGCAGAAATTTCCTCAGGACAGTTTTGATTGTACTGTATATGACTGAAGGGCAGAAGGTAAAGGGAGTGTGGATGAAAAACTCTCTGTGATGCTAATAATAACCAATTAGACTTTAACTGTTACCCCTGAAGTGCATTTTGACATTATGAAGTATGAAAGCATGAGAGGAAGCACATGATGCTGTGGTGAAACATTTCTTGTTTCAGAGTATTGCCATACTGTCTTATACTTTTTGGGGTACAGTTTTTAGTATGAGTGTATTTGTGTAATCTGATTGGCACTCTCGTTTTATTATATTGCCATAGGTATTATATTTATAGAACTCATTTATTTTTAAAACAGCCGCAAACCAACAGTGAAGAGATCCCTAGCGACTGGGACAAACATCCTGTTAAAGTGTTGGTGGGGAAGAACTTTAACAAAGTGGCATTTAATAAATCAAGCAATGCCTTTGTTATGTTTTGTAAGTATAGATATTTTAATTTTCCAATATGGTACAGAGACAAAGCGAAACTGTATTTAAATGTAGTAACAAGTAAGAATAAAGGTGGCCATACATGTAAAGAAATCTCTTGATTCCCCCATCCACATTAAACATTGTAGATGGACAAAACTCGACTGCAAGGTAATGTATTCTAAAGGCCATCACCCATGGCTATCAGAATACCCTTACAGTGACTGCAGCTGATTGGTTACAGTCATTGTTCAACCAACTTTTTGTGTTGAGCCAACTTTTTTCCACCAGGCTCCTTTCATTTTAAAATCACAGTTTGTGGAGCTGCGTAATGTCAGCCAACTTTTTTCTGCGCGGTCCCTTTGATTATTCAAAGTTTGTTGTCGGTGGGGCCACCCATGAATTTCTAGCTTTGTATGGCCACCTTAAGGATAAATGTGCTAATGCAAGTTTAGTTTAAGTTGGGTCCTATTGAGGAGCAATAGATTCCTGCAACTGACAAGGTACTGGGTATTCCCCAGGAAAGTACTTCAGTTTACAACTTATCCTTTCAGCAATTCCTAACCCAACTGCATGAATGATTTGCAACCCACTTCACTGATATCAGTAAGAGAATAAAAATGCTTCAGTAACAGTGTAAGATCACTCTGCAGTCCTGAAATATAAACAGTCAGTAGAGTAAGGAAGGGTTAAATCTTCTTGCAATGGCTTACTGCTCTCTTGTCTCAGTGATGACCTCACCTACTATTTCTTACACTGGTGTCATAAGGACTGGGAGTGAGGTCCCTCCCCAAATACTTCACAGACAGAAATAAAAAACTATAACTCTTCCCCACTCATACCCCATTCTTACTGGGGTTATCCACAATAAACATACTCACATGAACAGCAAATCCAGTTGTGTCCTGCAGTGATCTGCCGATCCCCTGCCACACAGGTGGAGACTCCTACCAGAAAAAATGCCATCTTAGATCTAATTGTCACTAATACTACTCCAACATCTTCTTTCCTTATGTCATCAGGAGCCAGCTATTATTTCTGGGTTCTTTCAAATGGCCCCCAGTGATGCATCGCCAGGTCCACCCTCCTCCACTTGCAGTGTGGAAGCCGATGCCTCCTGAGATGGCTAACGAAGAAATCCTGGGTGGCTACTAGGTATCTCATTCTTGCATTGAATCTAGGCAGGGAGTGGGCTGGAGTTAGAAATGAAACAAAAAACATTTGTAAAAGTTTTGGTTTTCGATTGCTAGGAATGAGGGATGCAAAGTCCTTTTTGGGAGTGAAGGTCTGCTTTGAGGTTTATGTTTCAGAGAATACTTCTTATAAATAAGGGTGCTTACTCAACAGTATTAACTCCTCCTCGTGGTAAATTATTTATTTCAGAGGTGGTGATAAAAAGACGCAATTTTGTGATCGGAAGTAGATTCAGATGTCTCTTCGTAAGCTTTGTCTGTCTTATGGTAGATATCAGAAATGGGTACAGGGCTGTGGTGCTAAATTCCACCTACTCGCTATCTTTTTCCATATATCTAAAAGTAGCTGGGAACAGGAAAAAAAAGCATGTAGGAGGCATTGCATTAGCATCCGCGTACACATAAATAACTTGCTCATTTAGTAAGACTGTTATTTCATCTTCCCAATTACAGATGCTCCCTGGAACAAAGAATGTCAAGAACTACTACCAATGTGGGAGGATTTAGGAAAAAGATATATGAATAACACAAATGTGACAATTGCTAAAATAGACTGTACAGCAAATGACATTCAGCTTATAGTGCTGGATCGCTACCCCTATTTCCGTTTCTTCCCTGCAGGATCAGATAACCAGGTAAGAAAATGATCTGAAAATGTGACACAATCATAGACTAATGCTTATTAGAGTGAACCTGTACTCCAAAACTAACAGTATGAAACTTATGTGCCTGTATGTAAAAAAATGTTCTGAATGCATGCATCTATATATTAATTCAGAAACCGGGCTGCCATGACTCTGAAGAAGTCAATGGCTGACCCATTCCTCTATCTTCCTGCAACTCCTTATTTGAGAACAAAGAGGAAGAGTACTTTCAAACAATGTACACTTTTTAAATTCTATTTTAGGTTTTTTTATACACCGATCAGCCATAACATTATGACCACCTGCCAATATTGCGTAGGTTCCCCGTTTACCGCCAAAACAGCCCTGACCCTTTGAGGCATGGATTCCACTAGACTCTGAAGGTATGCTGTGGTATCTGGCATCAAGCCAGCAGTAGCAGATGCTTTAAGTCCTGTAAGTTATGAGGTGGGGCCTCCATGGAATGGGACTTGTTTTCCAGCACATTCCACAGATGCTCAATTGGATTGAAATCTGGAGAATTTGGAGGCCAAATCAACACCTCAAACCCATTTTTGTGTTATACAAACCATTCTTAAACCATTTGTGCAGTGTGGCAGAGTGCATTATCCTGCTTAAAGAGGCCAGTGCTATCAGGGAATACCATTTCTATGAAGGGGTGTACTTGGTCAGCAACAATATTTAGGTAGGTTGTACATGTCAAAGTAACATCCACATAAATGGCATTGTCCAAAACATCACACTGCCTCTGCTGGCTTGCCTTCTTCCCATAGTGCATCCTGGTGCCATCTCTTCCCCAGGTAAGCGACACATGCACTTGGCCATCCACATGTAAAAGAAAGTGTGACTGTGCCACTAGACCAGGCCACCTTCTTCCATTGCTCTGTGATCAAGTTCTGATGCTCACATGCCCATCGCAGGTGCTTTTGGCTGTGGACATCACTGCTCCTGTCAGTGGCCATAATGTGATGGCTGATTGGTATATAAACTAAATAGAAAAAGAAACAAATACAAAAAAAAAGGAAGACCAAATAAAAGCAGCCAGCACATCATTTTAAAAACAGTACAGTAATCATTCTCCAAGACAGACAAAGTAGGGAGGGAAGTCAACTCAAAACTTACAGCTCAGGGAACGCTAATCCGGTTAGGAGACAAAATCAGACCAGTAAAACCAAGTATTGCAAAATCGTTCCTCCTTACGGTGCCATAAGCTCCTCCATTGTCTTAATTTCGTTGGCCTTGGATAACCATAAGTTGATGAGGAGAGGTCTGCTTCCAGTGGAGAGGGATCCAAGCTTTAGCTGCATTAAGCAGCGACAGCAGAAGAGACTTTTTATAACACTATAGATAGAGGGGCAAGATGGAGGACAACAGCAGCCAGGTCATCCCCCATTTTTTTTAGAAAAGCTAAAGGAAAAGGAAAAGTAGTGATGAAAATAAAGCAATTTTTGGTTAACCCAATCATTTCTTGCACATTAATCCTTATGATGAGGGTTGCCACCTTTTCTTCAAAAGCAAAACCCGAACACTCTAGCGACGCGTGGACATTTTTGGGGGAGAATGAGTCGTGGCTTATTCATATGTAAATAGCACTGCCCATTCATATGTAAATATCACAGTAGAGACTATTTTCAGTGAGGGGCCAGTAGCCCCTATCTTAATTGTGGTTGCCCCTGTCTGCCTGACATCTTGTGTCCGGGTTTCTGCTGCCATAAAACTCAGACACAGCATTCAAAACCCGGACTGTCCGGGTGAATCCTGGACAGGTGGCAACCCTACTCATGATCCGCGTTACTGGCACAGGGATTACCGTCTCAGAAGTTTGGGAGGTATGCCTAAACTAGAACCCTCCAGCAGCTTACTGACATGAGTAGGACAGTGTTCCCTAGTTCCGGTGGCTGTAATCTTCTTCATTTTTAGCTGTGCCTGTGTAAAGAGACCTCATCATCTCCTGACTGTCTCCATTCTCTGATCTCGTACTGATAATTTGTCATCTGTGTTTGAGAGTCAACAAAGTGCATAGTTCCCCTGCATTGAATGCAGGGTAGCCAAATTACCAACAAAATATAGTGAGATGAACTGATGAACGGCAGAAATATCTAGGTAAAAACTGAACTATATTTTTGAACAAGTGGGTGGTGTTTGTATGTCTTTATTGAGATATGTGTTTTTTCACACCCTGTACATTTGTTCTGTTTAGAAAAACTCAATAATTATCTAACTTTTTCTTTTCTTCAAAGTCTGCCCGCTATACAGGAGACAAAACAATCAAGGCATTCACTGAGTTCTTAGAAAATGAACTCAGGTCATCAAATACCAAAGAAGTGGTAATGCAAATCTATATGTTATTACCTTTAACAGCAGATATTATTTTAAAGATGTATACGGTATAATGCTCCTTGGCTCTATTTAGTGGTGAGAATGCCGTGCGGATGGCATTTGACCAGCATATGTCTTGGAAGATGATTTATAAATCATCCCCTATGTGTATAAGGACACCAAATGCCCATAATCCAATACCACTCATTTTGCAGACAAAAGTAAGATGTCAATGGACACTAGAGATCAGCAAAGCATTTTGGGGATGTGATAGATCTACCCAACAATGGCAGTGTTAATGTGCACTAGAGTTTTATTTTCTTTATATGTGTTACAATATCGGACCTCTGAAAAGTACAAGCATGCATATGTACTCAGTACTTGGTTTGGGCCCCTTTTGCAGCAATTACTGCAATTACTTTTGCACGATATTCTAATTATTCGAGTTTCACCTGTATATATATTTTTTTTAATATATTTTTTGCTTGTTGGTACATGGTTGGTTTTTATATTATTTAACTCCCTGTATACACTTTGAGGGGAGAATTAGAACATATATTTGATTTATTAATTCATATTTATTCACTGCCTATTTTTGGTCACTGAGACACTAACGAGTGTGTGCATATTATTATTATTAGGAAGATTATATTTTCACGATTAGGTATTTGAAATCACTACCGTTGTCTACTAGATCAAGTTCACACATGCAAGAGTGTTAAACCCACGGGTTATTCATATAAGGATTGCAACTAGGTTGCTGTATTTGTTTTGTGTTACGTTTGTCACAGATTACTCAGAGCCACACTAAGTGATCGTGGGGCGTTTGTCACACAAGAATTATTGATGTGGGGTGGATGAATACAAGTTTCACGTATCACATGCTTAAATAAGAATTTTGGATATTTCCACACTGATTATGGCTCTCTTGGAACTAAGAGATTGGTCCATATTGAGGGTTTGATCATACACCTATCGATCACACATTAGGATAGAATATTTGGTTATTTGTATAGATGTTCGTGTGTTATTCATGATATTTTCCACTTTGGAATCCACATTTATTTAGATCAAGCGCAACTTATTTACCATATCAGGAAAAAAATGCTGCCTGGAGACGGCAACCCGCCAATGCAAGTTTGCCGTCCGTCCGTTTTTTCTTAACGGGCGGACAGCAGGAGGTTAAAGAAGAACTATGAGGTGAGTGATTTTCACTCAACCTCATAGTTCGAGCCGACATGTGACAATGAAACTGTCACACGTCGGCTCAATAGATCGGGGAGTGAGCGAACACATACCGTTGCTCGCTCACTTCTCGATCAGCAGAGAACCGTGACTGTCACTCGTGGCTCCCTGCAGGGATTGCCCCTCTCAGATCCTCCAGCGCTGACTGGCGGAACAGACGGGGGAGGGGGCGGGTACAGCTGGCTCTCCCTCCAGATAGGCAGAGCCAGCTGTCAATGACGCAGCTGGGTGGATCTCGACAGTAATGTCGGGATCCGTCCTGGCTGCGGTGGTCTTAGTATACTGTGAGCTGTAGCTCGCAATATACTGAGCTTTGGGTCACGGGAGGACGCTAGTACCCCATAGTTCTCCTTTAATAACTTCAATATTGCACTATATTCTAGAACTATATTATATATTCTATATATTCTAACTTTTATAGGACCCTTCTGAATCGAGCCAATCAAGCAGTGAAGATGATGCAAAGAAGATTAAGGAAGAGTTGTAGCTGTGTATCTGTGTTAACGCCAAAATCTATTTTGCGATTCAAAATGTTGCATAAACTTTGAAGTAAATGCCAAACTGTAATCGTAGTATTCTTGTGTTTATTATTCAACCAAGTGTGAACACTACAACTGTCAATACACTTGCTTGACATATCCCTGTTGGGTTTTATCTATACAGATATATGACAAAAGAACTCTCAGTCTGTTTTACCAAAGCAATTAATCTAATTCTAATTTTTTTTTTCAGTGCAGGATTAGGACCCATACACATCTGCATGTTTTAGGTGCATTGCAGGGGTGGGGCTTTGTATACGTGTTGTGGATTTTACACACTTTTACAAGAGTTTTGCATGCATTGCCACTAAACTCTGTGACGCATATATTAGCTAGAATCCCCATGAAAGATACAGTAAGCAGACATTTCCCAATGATGGAACAAATTCCTGATGGAATTTGTTAAGAGCAATATGCTTTAGGTTAGGCGTATGCGGTTAGGCAGAAAATTGCTCCAATTTGGCAGAAAAGTCATTCAGGAGTTCTCATATCTGTCTGTCCATATCACTTTAGTTTCATTGTTGCTCAAGCCCTGATGAGATTGTAGAACTTCTGAAATGTGTACTATTTAAAGTATTTCTGGCCTATTTATTACATTGGTGTTCCCCTTACATTGGTGGTCAGTGGAGCAGTGCCACCCTGACATTGGTGGTCAGTGGGAAGAATAATGCCCCTCCCAATACATTGTTTGCCATGGGAGGAAGAATTTCCCACTTCCATTGGTGGTCAGTGAAAGGAATAATGCCCCCTTACATTGGTGGTTGGCAGGAGGTATTTAAAAAAAACCTGGCAATCTTGTCAGAATTTGTAACTACAGTGTTCATCCAACAACAACATTGCCTTTATTTCTGATGCCACAACTTAACAGGAAAAAAATATGCAATACATTTTAATGTCAATATCCTTAAGTAATAACCTTTTGTGAGTTTTTATATATAATCATAATTGTCATAAATTGATCTGTAGTTCTGTACTGTATCCAGCCTTCTACGTGTTTTGCCAAAAGCTTCATCAGGAGGTTTGGAGGTAGTCTATATTATTCACATAGATATTATAATAATAATAAATACAGCAATGATTATAGCCATGATTATATAATTCCAGGAATTGGTTCTAAATGAAATATATAAATAAATACCAAGTTTTAGATTTTTTTGGTGGTGGACAAAT